GGACAATAGAGTGGTCAGAAGATTCTCCAGAGTTTTTAAAAACGGGAACTACAGAGGGGGACTTCCAACAGCTTGGAAAACAGGGAGCATCGAAGCAATAGTTGTAGAGTTTGGAGACAACTGGAGCCAGCTCGGGAGCACATATCTTTAGGACGACGGCTGGGATCCCGTCACCTCCATTTGCCTTAATTTAGAAAAGATGCTCGAGACCAGTGACGGGATTATGCGCATATCACCCAGTAGGGCCTCAGTTCTACGTGCAAATCAGGTGTTGATAGTCCAAATGAGGCGAGTGTTGAGTGAGGAGAGAATTTCCAAGCAAAGCATTCATCCTTATCTGCTGTAGATGTCAGGTCTTTGGATTGATTGAATAGAGAAGGGATTGAGGAGTGGCTGTTGTTCAGCACATTCTTGCAGAGCCGCCAATAATCTCTAGAACCGAACTTGCGATATGATATACGTTGTTTCATTCTATCAGCACAAAGTAAGTTAGCTTCATTGTGGACACGCTTGCACTCATTACGAGCAGAGACAAAGAGAAGTCGCTCTGGTACATCCAGAAGAAATGATTCCTGTGGGTTATAGTGGCCGAGTATGCAGGTGAGAACCAACGAGATGAACGCGTTTAACTTGATATTTATTTGCTGGAATGAAGATATCAGTACCAGTTTTCACCCAGGAGACTTCAGACACGCAATTTTTTTAACAGGATGATTAAAAAAGCTTTTCGAAGATAACAGAAAGATATTCTGTTGGTAGGTGGTTCTTGGCTTGTAGGGTCGGGTGCAGAACGAGATGTCTACAGACACGACCTTATGATCAGCCAAGAGGACAGACCTGCATAGTACAATGCAAACAAGGTAAAAAAAAAAAGAGAACGAGAAGAGAAACATGTCCGTCAAGGTTACTGGGGAAACGGGTGACGAAGTCAACCATTCACGTGACAGATTGAACGATTGAGAATCTAAGGGTTTGGATGCCATCGTGGTTAGTGACAGAGTATTTAAGCCACTTGATATGGCGGGCATTAAAGTCACTGAACACGATTTATTTAAACAAGTAAAAAATACTAAGTTTGCTAAATTCATTTTTATTAATTTTATTAATATACGCATTAGGAAATGATTCATACGTTTCTTTCATGGTCAGCTCTCTGTAGCTATGGATAGAGTATAAATTCAAGTGAACATAGTATAAGGACAAAAAGAACCTGTCTATATTTCTGAGATGAGGTATTATGTAGAGTATTTACATTAGTCGGACTATTGTCCTCATCTTTGTCGCCATATTTGTCACAACGTTTCGGCCGTTGTACGCTCCGGCCTTCTTCAGGTGGTTGGAATTTCGAACTGAACCCTTTATTTCGATCACTGGGGTAGACTGTTCTAGTTCCACGTGCCATGTTTGATGGATGTCAGTTACCAGTTATCTCCTGCTAATTTTCCTCCTTGAGGACACATGGCACAGTGGATAAAGGCGTTGGTTAGATCCAGTGGCAGACCCAAAGAGTGAGAGTTCAATACCCGGTTAAGGCAGTGGAGAACTTTCAGAGGGAAAATTAGCAGGAGATAACTGACCACTATACTATTTCTCTATTCAGATCCCTATGCGGGTTATTTGTCGACAGAGTATTGTCGAGTAAGTACTATTAGTGCGAGTGATATTCGAAGGCGTCTGACACCGTACAACGGCCGAAACGTTGTGACAAATATGGCGACAAAGATGAGGACAATAGTCCGACTAATGTAAATACTGGACAAAAAGAACATTAGAAAATAGATGTCTTGCAGTGAATGTTGTTTATACAGAAATTTTAGAGAGGTAAGAGTACTTCCATGATAACTTTCCTTTTAGGACAGGTATTTGGTTAATAGGACAAATAACATTTATGTGCCGAGCTTCTCAGACTATTATTACCTCACTAGATTCTATCCACCTGAAGTTTCGTGCTAGTTACAGATAGGTTTAATAAATATCAGGACGCCATTCACTAATGGTCACTGGGTTAACCTCATAACCCAGTACAACTGTAGTGAAGTCATTCCTCACCAAGTTCCTCTAATTTTTTACCTTGTTTTGTGATATCAACGAACACTCATTGCAACTTTTGTGATGTCAACGAATACTCGTTGTCACTTTCGTAATTCTCGTTGCAGTAGAGACTTTGTAATCGCAGATAAAAGTATTGTACGCATTTAAACAATACTGGTGTCAGACGCCTTCGAATATCACTCGCACTAATAGTACTTACTCGACAATACTCTGTCGACAAATAACCCGCATAGGGATCTGAATAGAGAAATAGTATAGTGAATAGAGTAGAGAATAGCGGTCCGTATAGTAATAGAGGATAGAGCAGAATAGCGATCTGAATAGTAATAGAGGATAGACTATAAATGCAAATCAATTAGACGTCACGCTACCTTCCTTATATGCGCTTCCTCTATGGTCACGTGGTCTACTTAGCATTGAAGTTACGGTTACATCTAGCCATTTCAACAGTAAGATGATGAGACCTTGCCGCCAATTTAGTACTGCGCTTAAATTCGTAAAGTCTGGGTACTAAAGGGGAAAGCTCATCAGAACAGTTACCATCAAAAATTCTAATCACAGTTCATTACTATTGCAGCGATTTCGTTTATAACTAGTTACCAGGCATCACAAGTTTTGTACCAGACTAAACTAAGCTTAGTGAATACTAACAGTTTCTCTAACTGTAGAATTTCTCTTACTTAGTAATATAGCATTACAGATCATCAATATAAATAAATGCGAATGTCAGTGTTTCACACTTTTTCAACTTCACTCCCAGAGGTCAGAGCCCATCATATCATACCATTTCGGAATCAGACCGACTCCGTCAGCAAATTAAAAACATTCCAGCTCAGATCTGGAGCAGCAATCCTGAAATTTGGGATTCCCAAGTTTTCATTACTGCGATTGTTTTCGGCGATTTTTTACGTCAAATTTTTTGTACGATAACAATTTTTATAACTTGTTAAAAAATTTGGAATTAGTCAAAAGTAATTCCGAAATCCAACGAAAGTCACCCAGGAAATAAAAATAATTGTTTGTACGGAAAGTAAGGACATACGCAGATCAAATTGTCTTTAAATTAAGTGGAGAGAGAAGAATTATTGTTGAACTTTTAAAAGGTGAACATAAATATTCATGCAATGCTTAAATGCAGCGATCAATTTTAAGTTCATCAAATTGCCTCGCAAAAAAAGAAATATCCGCCAACAGAGGACCAGATTGCAATCAAAAGAGCCAAGGCTGCAGTGAGGAAAAACATCCCATGCATATGAAAACCCAGATCAAGCGGCAGTCAGGAGAGCTTCTATTGCTGAAAATTGGGGATTCTCAAACTCCTGAACAAGTCAAGAGACCTGTACAGGAACGAGCTTAAACACCGTCCCATAGGGCGTCTTTTAAGCTAGTTATTAATAATATAATGCTTTAGATTCACATTAAATAACCTGCTCTTATGTATTTGTAATGTGACCAGTTAATATCAGCAATATATATAGTGCAGTTCAATTTATATTACAATGAATTATTTATACAAAAAGTAAATTAGTAAAATTAATGAGAAAAATGGTGAAATCCCTTCGCTAACAAAATTTTAAAGGTGCATTAACCTACAAATCACTCGATGAAAGTTATGATCCTTGTTTATAAAAATTACAAGCTGTATAAAGTATTTCTTAAATACACAAGTACGTTCGACTGTACATTCAGTCATCTTCATTTCAGTCATGGAAATTATTTTGTTTTTGGTAAAATTTAGGCAGCATCCGAGACGAAAAATATAATACGAATCGAAATATGTACAATCGAAAGTACTTGCTTATTTAAGAAAAACCTTATACACCTTATAATTTAAAAAAATTTTTTTAAAAGGATCATAACATTCATCGAGTGATTAATAGGTTTCTGCATCTTTAAAGTTTTGTTAGCGAAGGGATTTCGCCATTTTATATCATTGACTTATATATATATATATATATATATATATATATATATATATATATATATATATATATATATATAAGTGCGCAGGTATGCAGAAAATAGAAAAAAACACGTTGGGTGCATAATCCGGAGTTCCTTAGTATTTTTGTTTTATTTTTAAGAAGACAGTGCTCCATACAGAAGTAGAGCTTTATTATAATATTTTTTGTTTAAAATATGATTCCTTTCATACATAAGAGTTCTCATGTTCAAAAAAACGAGAGCCGAAACCATCCAAATAATTATTAAAATTAAGTTGAATTGAGGTGTTTAGTCCTGTTTTCATCTTCAAGTTGAAATTTTAGGAATAACCTATTTAGGTTATTCCTAAAAATTTCGCTTGAAGATGAAACGGCACTAAACTCTCGTTTTTGAAACGTAAGAACTCTTATGTAGCGAAGGAATCATATTTTTAAAATATATATATATATATATATATATATATATATATATATATATATATATATATATATATTAAATAGCTCAGTAGATACGGCTCTTGGTTGGTAGGCAGTTTAGGGAAGGACTAGTTTCAATTCAAAAGGAAATTATTCCATTATCTTAACGAAGAAGTTAAGGCAATTCACAGACGGTAAAGAAAAAGTATCTGTGAAGGGTCACGATCACCTACATCCTAAAGGGATTTAAAAAATATGTAAATATTCATCACTGAAAAGACATTGTCAATAAATCCGTTTGGTAAATAAATATATTTGGCTTACCATAACAGGGACGCGTATAGACCGCACGATTCTAGCGACCAGGGGTGCGTATGTGCGTGTGCCCGCGCATTTTGTGTGTGTGTGTGTGTGTGTGTGTGTGTGTGTGTGTGTGTGTGTGTGTGTGTGTGTGTGTGTGAGCACGCGCGTTTTGTTCGAGAGCCTTTCTACTTGAACAAAAAAACGCGCGCTTACACACAGACGCGAGCGCGCACGCACGCACGCACCCTTAAAATTTATTTCTGTGCGCTTCGCCTCTGCGAGTTCATGTCGTCGAGTGAAGTAGACATGTGAACGGAACGCACGTGGTATAAAATTGTCTGGCGAATGCAGATAAAACTAGTTCGTGGGGAAGCGAAGCGAACACACAGACACACAATGTTCTCCGTTTGGACCGTCATTCTCACTTCCTCTCTCTCTCTCTCTCTCCCCCTCTCTCTCCCTCTCTCTCTCTCAAAAGAAGAAGAAGAAGAAATTTAATACCCAGCCTCTCCATCGCCCCCTTCACTTTATTTCCTATACATTCTCTCCTAACCATGTTTGTTCTTCACTTCGCCACCACTTTCTCTCTCTAATTCATTCATTTCATCCTCCCTGTTCGCATCTTAGTCTGTCTGTATCTAAGTTTAAATGTCTCTCTCACGGTTTGTTTATATTGATCTCCCTTAGTTTATTCACATATGTCTCAGAGTTTCATACCTATCTATCTATCTATCTATCTATCTATCTGTTTTCAATCTATGTATCTATCGATCTAAGTCTTTTTAGATCTATCTATTTTTCTATTCATGTCTATTCATATGTATTTATCTAAGTCTTTTTAGTTCCATCTATTGATGCCTATTCATATCTATTTATCTATTTTCTATCCATTTGTTTAATTCAATCTATGGATCTATTTTTCTATTCATGTCTATTCATATCTAAATCTTGATGAATCTATTTTTCTGTTCATGTCTGTTCATATGTATTTATCTAAGTTTTTTACTTCTATCTATCCATGTCCATCCATATCTATCTATCTATCTATCTATCTATCTATCTATCTATCTATCTATCTATCTATCTGTTTACATCTGTTTCAATCTATGTGTCTGCCTGTTCATATCTATCGATCTAAGTCTTTTTAGATCTATCTATTTTTCTATTCATGTCTATTCATATGTATTTATTTAAATCTTTTTAGTTCTATCTATTCATGTCAATCTATATCTATGTCTGTTTCGATCGATCTATCTATCTATCTATCTATCTATTCATGCCTATTCAATCTGTGTATCTATCTATTCATGTTTATTCATACGTATCCATCCAAAATTTTTAGATCTAGCTATATATCTATCTATTCATATCTATCTATATCTGTTTCAATCTATATATCCATTTATCTATTCATGTCTATTCATATCTATCTATCTATCTATCTATCTATCTATCTATCTATGTCTGTTTTGATCTATGTATCTATATATTCATATGTATTTATATGTATCTATCTATGTCTATCTAAGTATTTGGGCCGTAGCTGCCCAGACCTCACGTTCCAGCCTTAATAAAGTTCAAAAGCGTTTCCGAGCCCTTGTGAGTGACGAATTATTCTCCACCCATCAACCCCACTCCCACGGGTGGGATGTGGCAAGCCTTTCACTGCTCTACTGCTACTTCCCCGGAAAGTGCTCGGACGAACTACATTCCCTGGTCCCGCTAAGTCAAACCTTCATGGCAAGAACACGCCATGTTACTTATATAGTAGCAAGCCACCCACATTCCCTCTGTATTCCATTAGCAAGGAGTAAGTTCCACTCGAGCAGTTTCTTCCTGCCAACCACTGTCCTGTGGAACCGACTCCCAACAGGAAGTGTCCCGGATAGCTATAATCTTAACCTGTTCAAGGCTAAGGTTAGCCACTATCTTCCACTCTTATGCACACGAATGCTCTTTAACGTACCTTGAGTGCAGCCCCCGCCCACCGGTTACTGTAAAGAGTGAACCTTACTGTAAAAAAATATTCTGTACACACATAACCCTCTCTCTCTCTCTCTCTCTCTCTCTATCTATCTATCTATCTATCTATCTATATATATATATATATATATATATATATATATATTCTCCATACTTCTTATACTTAATGTCTATCACATTATTTATATCTGTCTCTTTAGATTTGTCTATTTCTTTCATATCTATCTTAATCTGTTTATATTTCTCTTGATATATATGTGTGTGTGTGCGCTCGCGCGCTCGCGCGTGTGTCTGCATGTGTCTATGTGTGTGTGTATATTTTAAATAAGCTTTCCACGGAGCAATGACTGACCACGACTTCCAGTTTTATACGCCTTCCCGCAATCATCAGATCTATCTATCTATCTATCTATCTATCTATCTATGTGTGTGTGTGTGTGTGTGTGTGTGTGTGTGTGTGTGTGTGTGTGTGTGTGTGTGTGGGTCAGTTTGATCATGTTTCTCCCCACTCTTCATAGCCCGTCCATATCTGTTTATATACATATTTATATGATGCCGAGTATTTATAACGTTCACTTTACAAGGTACCTGAAAACCCTACCACGTGTTGACCAATGCTTTGTAAGTGAACATCGGTAGACGGGACTGTTTGAAAGAAACCGATGGTTATGCTTGAACAAAATCACAAGTTATCGTGATCGAAAGTTTGAGCAAGCCGCCTTTGCCAACTGGTCCATCGGAAAACAACTGGACGGCCCTTTATATCTATAAAACATAAGATGTTTGTGCGTGAGTCTTCCTGTGTGTTTGTCTTTCTTTGTCAGTATCTGTCTATGTGTGTGTATGCTATTTATGCACGACAACATTTCTCGCCTGATTTCGATGAAATTATACACACATGTTGCAAATTTATAATAATAAGTTATAACCACCTTTTTAATCTCCAGCACCTACCTCTAGTAGAAAAATCGATAAAACTGAGATGGGTACGCCTTTTTGCAAAAACCAAGACAAAGTTACACGCGAACAAAAATTTTATTGGATGAGCTGATGTTCTTTGCACTTAATGTAAAACATCGCTCATGTTACGAGGTTTAAGTAGAGTGCTTGACAGTTTGTTTTTTGGAGGTTTTTTTTGTGACACTAGCTTCATACGAAAAATTGTAAAAACTGTTGAAAAAATCGGGTTTTTCGTACTATCTATTATAAAAACTTGAATAACTTCCTCATTTTTTATCCAATTTTCTTCAAACATCTCGCAAAACATTTGCCATCATGCAAGACATAAGTGTGATTTCAGTCCTGTTCCACGTAAAACTGTTAAAAGGCCCGTTTTTCGGCCATACCTCCCTAGTTTTTCATCCGATATTTTCCAAATTTGCCATGTTTAAATTACATATGACACACAAATTGTTTTGCGTGAATATTTTGTCTAGATTATTTCAGTTAAGTGGATGAAATCATCGACAAACTAGGTCCAAAATTGCCTATTGCCATTTAGCCAATAGTTTCTTCATATGATTCCATCCTAAATTGGCATTCGAACAACCTTTGATGGAAAGATTGTTTGAGAAGGTTTATTGAAGTATTAAAAGGGAAAAATTCCCGAAGAACCTCATATTAACCCCTGCTTTACAGTAAACGTGCGAAGAAGGAGAGGGTCTATATGAGTTTGCACTTGCAGTTGAATCAAGTTCTGACGCTTCATTCCTGCTTTTGTTTGATTATTAGATTTGTGAACAATACCATACTATCTGAAAGTTATTACGGCCATTGGAAATTTATTAAATATTTAAAACATTGAAACAATTTAACTCCGAGCAACGACCACACAAGAAGGTTTTATCGATGAAATTCCTTTATTAAGAACAATCAAACACTTGCGAAGGACATACCGTAAAAAAGATGAGAGGGAGTAGCTTAGTAAACCAACGGTCGAGGCATGAAAGCTGGGACGCAAGCAGACATTTCTAGACAGGGGGTGCGGGTATACAGGGCTGTGCAATATACAATTGCAGCCATGTACACTCGGGCAACGCCAGGTACTCCGGTTATATATATATATATATATATATATATATATATATATAGAGAGAGAGAGAGAGAGAGAGAGAGAAAGACAGAAAGATTCGACCAACTTCCTTTCTGTAGCCGCTGTATATGTGTATCGATCTTTAACTATCTATATGTTTTTTTCTATCTTGGAATGGTTAAGCTGATTGTAAATTTCTGGTACTAATTTTGAAATTAAGGAACCATCACTAGAATGCCGTAATCTGTGTTCATTGACAACCACGTTAATGGTTGTGTTGATTTCTACTAACAATAAAAAGGTATTTGTGGGTTAAGTAGGGTTGCTGAAAGGTTACAACAGGGATGATAAATAAGATTAATTCTTCGTTTATTTAAAAGAACCAATCCTAAAGAAGAAATATTAATCCGAAATAAATATTTTTCTTCACATTCCAAAAGACATCAACTTTGAATATTATTATGAAATGGACAATTACTTTGAATATTATTATGAAATGGACAAAGTCCGACAATTATTTTTTAAGACATTTTTATGTTTATACGTTCTTTTTTATCGCTACAAATATTTAAGTAAATGCTCTGTTTATAATAAACAGTATTAACGACATTTAATACATTCTATAAAAAAAGAACGTATAAACATAAAAATGCCTTTAAAATAATTGTCGGACTTTGTCCATTTCATAATGTTTGACGTCATTTGTTTACACTTGGATACGCATCGAGTATCGAGCAGATATGAATGTACGAGAGAATATCATGGAAAATTGTAGTTTAAAAACAGTAAAATCGACCTTACCGAAATGCTCCTCTGTTGCTAGATCGGTAAAACACGTTAGGTCATGTGACGGTTCCGTGTAAGATACAGGTTCGATTCCTATCGGAAGATGCATATTTTCTTTGAAAATTTCTCGGACATTCAGGTCGGTAAATGTCGTTAATACTGTAAGATGAATTGTGTTTGAACGAGTTAGTTGCTTTAAATCTTACACTAATTATCAACGTTTCGTTCAGCAAGGACATTATCATAAAAACTGAAAAAGCTAAATCGTTACTATGGCAACCGTCATGTTTAGAAACGTTGTGATTAATTGGAAATTCTTTTTAGCTTTAAACTGATAATAAAATTGAAAAAGGATATCGGCGATTAAGTCAATGAGATTTTTTTAAGAAAACATTAAATTAACCACAGCGTTTCTTCGTAGCAAATTTGCCATTGTAACGATTTCTCAGTTTTTCTGATGATGTTATTATTGAACGAAACATTGGCAACAGAACACAATTTCATTTATTCCCTCTTATATACTTTGTTGCCATGTTTTATATCATTCATTCTATCACGGATGTATGGTGTGGTGCAATATAACAAAGGTAATGGATAATGGCTCGAAATGAGAAATCGGTGGAACGATTTCGCATTACAGTCGGGTTCATGACATTCACCTACACGCGAATATCCTGACAAATGGTATTATTCCATTTCTTCTCTTCTTCTGAATAGCAGGAGCTGACTGGGTCCTATAGCCTTGGCTGGAAACCAGTCTATCGCTGGTAAATATTCTGCCTAGTTAATCATGAATCGAAAGAGACATGATCGCCCATCACGTATGCCAACTGACTAAATATTCTATCACACACACACACACACACACACAGATAGATAGATAGATAGATAGATAGATAGATAGATAGATAGATGTGGGGGTATGTGTGTGTGTGTGTATATAGATATATATACATATATATATGTGTGTGGGTTTAGTATATATATATATATATATATATATATACCGGGTGTAACAGCAAAATTGTTCAAATTTTATGACGCTATTGAACTCTACTTTGAGCAATTAGAATGCATAATTACTCTCCAAGCTTGATAGAAGCATCGTGATGACATCGATCATAAACGAAAATTACATGTTCATCATTAATTAATCATATCTAAGGATCGGGAGCTCATAAGTCATTGAAAGAAAGTTCAAATATAAATTTCCAATCATTTTCCAATTTATTGAAGATGATCTTCGCCATCTCTAACCTTCTAACTTTCTGTCCTGGAGTAACAAGTTTCACGCACGATTTCATTTTCAAGTCTTTTTTCACCACTCTTTGGACTGTCAAAGTGAAACTCCTCTCTCACGTGACAAACGTCTTATAGATTGAGTTGGATCTTTTAGAATGGATCTCTTTAGCATTAAGTTGAAACGATGATCCTTCTTCTTGTTGTGACCTCCTGTTCCCACTTATTTTAAACTTATTCACCGTTCTCTTGATGGTTCTTGATTTAGAGTATGAATGTTGGTACTACAGCTGAATGCCTGAATGATTTTTTCCTCTCACCATTGCTCAGTTGAGAAGATAGTGAGGGCTGACACAAAACGATTTTAATCTGTTCACTTTCTAGCTGTATAGCTCAAATGGTGTCAAGATGGCTAAACGTCTTATCTGAAAACCTGGAAAAAAGGAACTCAATTATTTTAGTGTTTTTTTTAGATATTAAACATTTTGTGGTGGGATAGACAATTCTGCTGTAACACGATTTGATCAATTTTGCTGTTACACCCAGTATATAATTAAAGAGTAAAATTTATTAGTTTAATATATGTAATATTCTCTCGTGTATGCAATGTTTTTAAGTAAAAGTGTTGAAAATATGAATAATGCAAATCAAGTATTTAACAAAACACTCTTTGACACAAACGTACAGATTATTTAAAATGCAGTTATTTGGATAAATGCCAATAACATTCCTATAATAATGAGAAACGTAAAGACTACAAAGAACAGATTGTTGTGGAGATCTAAGATCGTCTGTGCTCTGAGGGACACGGTAAATAGAAGATTGCTTAAATCACTCAAATTATGACAAAAATTATTATAAACAGACCTAAAAACTCCTATTGTCATTTCTAAACTTTGTGCTTTTTTAGTGTTGTTGCTTTTTGGATCAATTGTTTAAAGAAATCTGTTCCTATGCAGCAACTTTAGAAAAAAAATTATTTTAAATATGGTATTACATAGCAAATGTAGATTCTGGGGAAAGCGTTTTGGCGAATCTGACTCTTCTAAGTAATGAGAGGACGTGGCCGATTGAATTCATATTCATCGCGAGGAAATAGCAGTCAAGAAGGCAGAATTTTTAACAACAATGTCTTTTGTTTAATATTTTAGGTGCGTTATGTAAATTAATTACGCAAACTACCGTTTTTATTTCAGTGTTAGTTCTCGTCAATGTAAAATATTTTTGGTTTTATGGTTAAAAAATATTTACAAATCTATACAATGCTACATCTGTAATTTTTTAGTATACCAAAATTGTAACTAATATACACATCACAAGTACATATAAACGAACAATAAGTACACTCTCTCTCTGTGTGTGTGTGTGTGTGTGTGTGTGTGTGTTCTGGCCATGGCATTTGTCCGCTTATACAGAAAAAGAAACAAGTATAAGAGATTGATTTCTTTTGTTTTTATTTATCCGAGTATATTTTACTTATATTCTTTATCTTTGTTGATTGTTATTTTCTAAAATGATAATATACTTTGCTTCTAACAAGTATGTATATTTACTCTTCATTTTAAAAATTCACTATTTTTTACGCAGAATTTTAATGAACCTCATCGATTTAATATCATCAATAACATTTTTTTTTCAAATACGCAAGACTTCAACACCGCCGGTGACAGAGCAATTAGTGTCCCATTGATTTTTATATCCACATCAATTGCATGTCTCTACCGGTCATTTTTCTAACCTGTAGAATGCGACGAATGTCCTGTTTAATATATCTGTATAAATTTAAGATTTTTCTTTCTTTTTAATTTACATCGGCCTTCATTTTCATCAGTAATCATTTATATTGATTAAGTTATCTAGGAAAAACAAACCCAAACACTACGATATAAATAATGTATCTCCAAAGAATATAAAAATAATAAAAGTAACGACAAGTGGAAAACATTTATGTCTACATTTATCGAATTTATTATTATTATTATTGTCGTCGTCGTCGTCGTCTTTGATTTCTGTTGTATACAAATTTCCTACCGGGTACCAACCAGAGACATACGTTCAAAAATGGCTTCATGTCATTTTCGACTGATCATTTTGGTAAAAAAAAAACTGAGACATATTTTACATAGATAAAGCTCTTTGTACTGTGTGAGCTGTACTTGTGATTACAATATTTTGTATTTCTATAAATCATGGACTACCAGGTATCCTTTGAATGTCTATCGGAATATTTCCAATCAATCCATGGGCTCCAACTACAGCTGGGATTGTTGATGTCCTCATCTGGTACATCTTTGAGATTTCCATTTCAAGATCCTTGTATTTTGATAGTTTGGGGAAGATCTTCAGAGACACATTACAATCTGTAGGGACTGCCATATCAATAAGAATGTACATTCCGTTTTTATGGTCTTTTATCGTGATGTCTGGGTGATTATCTTTGTTTGTTTTGTCTGTGTGTATTGTAAAGTCCTATAAAAGTGTTATAGGTCCTATCGTCTGGGTAATGTTCGTACCAGTTTCTTGCAATCTCCTTTACGTAAATGCTTTATATTTTCCAGTGCAGATATTAGCCCACTCTATCATACCGATTTTTATATTCAGTGGGTGCTAACACTGTGCAACCTGATACAAGATGGTCAATTGTTTCTGGATATTTATCACAGAATCTGCATATCGAGTTTACCCAATGTTTCAGTATGTGTGCTTGGTAATTTCTATTTAGCAAGCATTGGTCCTGTGTAACAAGAAGAAAACATTAGGTTTCAGGTTTTAAGCCTGCGCCACGTAACCACTGCTGGGTAAGGGATTTGTCTACGTCAGCTTCTTTGGGTATAAAATTGACTATGGCGTTATCTTGCCTTCCTTTCAGCATTTGGTACATTGCTTTTGCTTTCTTTTTTTAGATCCTTTGCCTTTTCAGTAGATGTATTATGATATTATATCTTCTTGAAATTCCCTTTTGAGTTTGATGGCTTCCCCTATTACTGAATGGAGTTTCTTATTTCTTTCATCTTTGACACAGATAATCCAGTCTTCTGTGGATTTTAAGTATCTTTGAAGACCGATTGTTTTAATTTTGTAAGACAGTCCTAGGTGAACTAATCCTCTGCCGCTTTCGGATCTGGACATCTGCAGACGATCAACACCGGCCTTAAGATGACGCATACAGTGGCACGTGATAAGCTTTCTCGTTTATTATAATTATCATTATTATTATTATCTTTTTTGTTATGGTAGAGTTTATATGCTTTTTTTTCTTTTTTTGCATTCGTGTATGGAATAATAAGGATATTAGAAGTTTTTAAAAGTGTTTTTTTTAATATATATTTATTCTTCATGTAAATATAAAATAAATATATCACCTACCAACTCTTTAACATGTCCTCTTCTAAATAATATATCCAGTCTTCATATCAATTAATTGAAACTACATGCCAAACTACTATTGATATGATCAGAACAAAAATCAATCATATATAAAATTAATCGGTAACAGCTGCCCCCCACATTATATTGATGAAACTTGCAGAAATTTTAAGACACCTATTTATGAACATAAGAAAAATCTTCTACATTATAATTTATTCAATGCGTTACGTATACACAGAAATAAGTTCAATCATGATTCCGAATTAGAAAATGCTGTCCTTTTTGAAAGAGAAAATAATCTACTAAGACGAAAAGTTTTCGAAAGTGCGTTAAATGTTCTAGCCTGAACATAAATAGCGTCTAGGATTTTTTCAAATCCTTCTTTTCATAAGTGAAACACTACTTTCTCAAGTCAACATATCTATGTACGATAATTTTTTAATTAAAGAAAACCATTAACTCATGGCTCTAAGAAAAAATCAATATTGATAGCAACAAAATTACTTTCGTTTCACATTTCAATAACTTATGTCACTTAGCGTCTTCCATAGTCTTCCTTAACGTTGAAAGATTTTCGAATGTTTGGGGCGTTCTCTAATTCAAATTTAAACAAATAACTATTTTTCTCAACGTTAACTTTTTTCTGTTTACGTTTAACTCGCGTTGAAAACAAAGTTAAGCAATGTATAATGGGCAGTAGTTAGATGAGGTTCCGAGTACTGTGTGCAACATCCTACAATCTTAAATACGTTACGGCTTTAAATAATCCACAAAGGGTTGATAAACCGTAAAAAATTAAATCAATCATTTTCTGTGTGTATAAATACACGTTCCTAAATAAAGTTTACTACATTTGCCATGATAAAGTTTTGTGAAGGAACAAAAACCCCGGCATAAAAGATATTCCGCTTGTCATTTCTTTTACTAAGATATATATATATATATATATATATATATATATATATATATATATAATAAAAAAGCCTTAAACACTAATATTTACCACTAATATTATCTATCTATCTATCTATCTATCTATATATATATATATATATATATATATATATATATATATATATATATGCATATGTGGTGTGTGTGTGTTCAAATTATTTTCAGATAGAGTGTATCTGTAAAGGAACCAAATGAACAAAAAGACGCAAGTAAAAACTATTCTCAGTCGACGCGTTTCGTCCTCTGGGGGTGGGGGCTTTATCGTGTAGATTTATTTTGTTGCACGTGTTTATAGACAAGAGTAAGGATGTCATTGGTTTATCAAATCTTTTAAATTTGATAGCGTATTACCTGCCCTGAAAATCTACTTAGATAATGCTACTATCTACTTAGATAATGCTACTCAGCGTTCTTCACTTCACCAGTAAAAACTTTAAGTTTCAGATGAACACAGCGATCTTGTCTTTGAAAATGACTAACAGTACTACTCTTGAAAAAAAAACAAGAACCCCCTAATGATATTACCAGCAATACATTTTTGTAAATAATTATTACCAGCAATACATTTTTGAAGAAAAAATATTACCAGCAATATATTTTTTTTAAAAATACTACAACAATAAAAATCTTGTCAGCATTAAATAACCCATTCAGGTAGATATGCCATAAAACAAATCAATCTCTCTCTCTCTCTCTCTCTCTATATCTATATATATATATATATATATATATATATATATATATATATATATGTATATTATGAAATGGACAAAGTTCGACAATTATTTTAAGACATTTTTTATGTTTATACGTTCTTTTTATAGATATAAATATTTAAGTAATTAATCGACCTTGCTAACCGAAACGATCCTCTGTGGTAAAAGCACGTCAGGCTATATGACAGTTCCGTATAGGATACAGGTTCGATTCCTGTCGGAGGACGCATATTTTCTATGAAAATTTCTCGGACATTCAGGCTGGTGAATGTCATTAATACTGTTTATTATAAACAGATCATTTACTTAAATATTTGTATCTATAAAAAGAACGTCTAAACATAATATATATATATATATATATATATATATATATATATGGGGGGGATGTGTGTGTGTGTGTGTACATTGAGGGCAACACGAAGCTTAACCCAATCTTTATAGCCTGCAGATTGCGTTCATGCATGAAAAAGAATCGCCATTCCTTTTTTCACCTCAGTGTTCACTAGCCTGTAAAAAGGTTTGTTGGGGATCCTGGACATCTCCAATGCATGTTTTTATGGGCAAATTGAGAATTTTACTTCCTCGATTTATAAACAATATGTCTTTGTTAAACGATGAAAGATTGTGTTCTGCAATTATATCGCTGTGCGATTACGTTATATTTCTTAGAGTTTAATTCAGATGGTTAATAATTTTGTAGCGTTCCAAACCTTAATTATCTGCACGTGACTCAGCTCTCATTTATCTAAGAGTAAGACATGCTTCATGTTACAGTCCCGCCTAGAGGCGTAAAACGTGCGTCGATTCGTTGTAGTTAATTTTATCAGAACAACGTCGCGTCTACACAGGTTTCCATTTTGCAGATGCAAAATCACTGATACAGTTATACGAATAAGTCAACTATCAAGTAAGACATTAATTCACTTCTCTCTTGCATATCTGATAATGTGTATCGGTTTACCTGCCTGAAAAAATTATTCCTGCTTTTATCTTCTAAAAGTATGCTGCTAAAGGGTTTTTTTTTTTTTTCTCTCAAACCGTTAAACCTGTGGTTCAC